ATAGCAAAGCTGCACTGCTGTGTATTTTAGTTATAATTGTAAATCATCTTCAGCTCTGCGCATTCAAATGCAGATCAGCAAAACTGTGAGGCTCTGCAAACACAAATCTTTTCTTCAAATTTGCAGCCAAACAGGATTAGGATGCATGTTCATGCTCTCTCTAACAGCACACAGGGAAGGGCTAAATTCAGTGTTTGAGAATGCCAGTTTTTAGTTTTCTGCAGAGATACTGTTGGTCTATGATCCCAACTTTGAATCTGTGTATCTGGCCTTTGCATACTGATGAGTTCAAAGCATTGATAATTCATCAAGGAAGAGGCGAGGCAGTGAAAGAGAGAGAGAAGAAAAAGTTTGGCATTTCTCAATCTGACTCCTTCTACACACATACATAGACACATACTCAGCAGCACATTGAATATGCTGAGCTTGGTTTGGCTTGGGGGCATTTTTCTTATTTATCCATAAAACAGTACATTATTTCCTATGGCTTGAAGTTTGACTGATGTGCATGTCACCTGTTCGGCCTGCATTGTCAACGCTCCAAGAAATACGAACAGAATGCTAAGGTTTACTGTGCCACTCGATAAGGAACAAGGATTGTTTTCCGATCCATCCAGAGGTTGGTATATTTCTCTGTTGTCAAAGGAAAAGTGGTTTGAACACGGTTGATACTTTTCATAAAAGACTTGTTGTCTTGATATTCATTTACCGTGGGACTACATGGTGCTGAAAACAATGACTTCTGAGATATTTTGCAGTCTGAAGTTGATCCAGTCATTCTAGGACAGTCTTGATTTTAATCTCTTTTTGTTGGTATCGGTTGTGTCACGGATTGGCTGTTGGACGACCCTGTTAGTTCATGACTTGCAGGAGGATTGCAAGCAGGAACTTATCTCTCTCAGCAGACCTCCGTGCAGCAGCACATGTCAGGTCTGGAGAAGCATCTGCCACATTATTAGCTTGATCTTGTGGTGCTCTGGCTGCATGACTGAATACTTTGACTCCCCCCCTCTCTCTCATGCTCACCAAATGCAGCTGAACCACCAACAGCTAATAAGCAACATTTACTGATCACTGGGGTCATAAGTGGTAAACAGAAAGAGGCATTGGGAGAATAAAGGGTTGCTTACCTTCCAACTATCTCAGCATAAATTATTCCAGCCGGTTTGATTGGATGCCTGTGAGCAATAAATTGATGTAGCAGCAGTGGAAATCTATCAGGATTCTCCTGCTTAGGCCGTGGTTGGAGTCCCATTAAAATAAGCAATGTAATACAAGAGGCTTAGAGAGCAGGAGCAGCAGTAAATGGTTCCAGTTGAGTTAACCCCTAGGCCTTGTCAGAGAAATTAATATTTCACTTGCTAATTATTTTGATCTAAAATTTAGAGCCATGACCTTCCTCAAGTCCGTGTTGCTGCCAAGATGAATATTCACACACCTACTGTAACAACTCACCCACAAGCCTGATTGCTGGAAACACAAAAGTGATTAGACATGCACTATTTATCCTGCGACAAGATTGTCCAAGTATCTGCACGTGTCAAAAGAACTTTCTACAACCCGAGGAATGTAGAAAAAAATGAATAATTCCCCTCTTGAAAATGTTTCAACTAAAATAGGAAGATTATAATTTTTGCGGTCATATGAATATAATTAAAAAGCCTATCAAAGAGAGCAAAGCACAAAGCTGCAATTTAATCTATTATGGGGACTTCTAGTCTTATCAAGTATGGTTACAGCAGTAGCCCACACAGTCAATTATTCCTGAGTTAAAAGATCTGCAATCCTTCAACTACATGCAGTTTTTTATGGGTGGCCAGGTAACAACGATCAATGATACATTTTAAAAAAGGAAAAAATACAATAGATTAACAAGTGAGCTTAAGGTAGAATATCATTGCACTGGCCCGGTATTTGGAAATCAGTGGTGAAAAACAATCTCCTTAGATTAATTATTAGAGAACCAAGTTTTTATCATTTTTTATACTTTCTTTTTACTTATCCAAGCATTTATTTTAAGGTTTCAGTAACACTCAACAACAACAACAATAAAAATATAAATAATGAAGAATTTTTGTAACCAAAGAAAAAAAAAACTTTCCCTGGTGCTATAAAAAAAACATTGCACTACAGATGGAAAATTTATTTTTAGGTTAAAAACATTGCCCACTAACTAAAAAAGAATAAGGTAAAAAAATGTAATTAAAAACATTCAAGTTCAGAAAAATGATTTTTTTCTCTGATTACATACTGTATAATTAATACATGAATACGGAAAAGTATTAGGTAATTGGAAAATGTGGGCAGCATTGTGTTTAATCCTGTGTGCAAGGCTAACATTATATAAACCTGAAGATTTACTAAATGTAGGAAATTGTGGTAGAAATTTGTCTTTTTTGGCTTTAGTTCAGTCTGGAGTTAGTAGACAAAAGTACTCTGAGGAGACATTCAACATCTTGTCACTTTCTATGTTTCAAGATGAGCAGCAGCTTGAGACAAGGCCACACTTACAGACATGGCTGGTACTGAAGTATATAAGGAATTTTACAAATCAAGTGGCAGAGAATACTTGCTGATTGCAGGTTTGCACTACAGTTTGAAACCCTAGTTAGCAGCTGTACTACAGTTCCTTGGGAGTGGGAAAGAATCCACTGAAATTTGATTGTCATTGGTTCTTTGGACCCCATCATAAATTTGAATCCTGACAAATCGTGTCACACAAACTCTTCCCACAAAGGTTGATGGGATCAATCATGCCAAACACAAACTCCTCCTGCACCCAAGAAACTCTCACTTAGGCGCTGCAGAGACTCCTACTTGAAAAAAGTGCTGGGAAAGGGTCAAAAAGTAACTGTGTTACTGTAGCCTTAGGGAGATTGTGAAACAAACTCTATTAAATGTCATACTTGGTTCACTGTGTTCTTAAGTGCAGTCAGCCCAGCCGCCTGCAATGCAATTCTAGAGCACTTTTTTGCTTCCCTTTGCTGAAGATGCTGGTTTCATTTTCCAGTGGGATTTGGTCCTATCCACACTACCTAAAGCACCAATGACTTGTTTAATGCAGATTGGCCAAAAAATTAATAGACCTAAACTCCACTGAGATTGTATAAGGCTCCACACTGATGTATTATGTATGTAAATGCAGGACGAGTCAAGTCCTGAGCGCATGTAGTAAAGAGAATTACTTAAAAGGAAGTTCTTTCAGTATGTTCTTTAGAAATATTAGTTAATTTTCTGTGACACATTAATTTCAGTTTTCAACAGCGGTTACTCATATACTGCAAAAAAAAAAAAAGAAATATACATCCATCTTCTTCCACCTACGTATCTGTCAGGGTCAAAATGTCTGTGGGCTATGGCAGTCTATTGGTGAAAGGCGGGGTACACCCTGGACAGGATGCCAGTACCACAGGGCAACACGGGTACAACCATACACACACAGCCCTGAAATAATAAGATTAAAATTGAACATGAATATCTGTTTCAAATAGGTATTTTCTCCTCGTTTTTTTAAACTAGGTAAGACATTACCAGTGCAATAAGAGGATTTACTTTAAAGCTACAGTGTGTAATAATTACAGGGATATGCAGTCAGAAATGTAATATATTATACATAACTATGTTATTTATC